GATTTTGCTGCATTCCAGATGAACTGTCTACATTGGATTGGTAGTAACACAAGTTTCACAAGGTGGGGCATGGGGAAGGTAGAGGGGGAGGGAAGGCTATGTCTGGTAGGCTGTCACCAGAAGAAAGAGCCCCCCAAGCTCCATCTCTAGTTGTGGAAGTCAAGAGGACAAGTAACACATTTTGTGATAGCCCAGACTATAAAGGCCAGAAGGAAGAGAGAAACTTGTCTCTGACTCACATCAGAAGGAAGATAGATGGATTCTTGTCTCAAATGACCTTGGAAAAAACCATGATACATATGAGGGGCTTGTCTAAGGTTCGTTATCTTTTATGGTTATGAATAAATTCTAAGGTTACATCTCGGTGAAATCATTAGTCTTTGTATAGTGGAATGGAAATGAACAATCCTTTTTACATATCAAAGATCTGCCATTGTTGAATTTTGAAAAATCATAACTGTGTCAGGGAAGATTTAAGTTAAATTAGTAATTTCATTTGAGATTAGCCAGAGTTTGTGAAGCTGGAAGGTAGGAGGAGGAGGTAGTAAAATAAGCCAAAAAGATTTCCAGCTTAGCTAAGTCTTTGAAGTCTCTTATCAATTCTATTGGCAGTTCAAGGCAAAAATTAACTCAGCTACCTTTTTATGTTATGATTATCAGTTACATGCATATTTCATAAAGTTATACACATATTTGGCATATTCATGTGTATATGTGTGTGCCCCCCCCACACACACACACGGCTTATGAAAATAGCTAAGCAAGATAGAACATACAAGTTCACCTGAAAAAAAAAAGTATTAATAAAATGACAAAGGTCTCATGTATTAAATATATTATATCTGACATAAATTCAATATCTCAACCCAAGTTCTGTGTCCAAGTCCAAATCATCTATCTCTTCAGAGTAGCAAGATGGTTTAAAAATTCTCATTTTTACATAAAAAATTAAACTAAGTACATGTAACAGGAAAAAAGTACACAGATGCAGAATTTAACCACTAAAACAGGACTCTCAACCTTTTCGTTCCAGGAGAAGCTGACACTTTTTTCATAGGCCTTTCTCAGTCTGGGGTAGGCTTGGGGAATTCTATAACCTACCAAAAAGGCTATGAATCCCAGGACTGTGAAATGAAAAGTACACTTAGGCCCAGTAGAGGGCAGTGTAGCCTCTCACAAAGCAGGCAAAATCAGCTCTCATAGAAAGTTCCACCAACCTTAAAAAAATTGAAGTACTCCCAACATCCCACTTTATATTTACAGATTTTACCTTTCGAAAGCATCCTAGAAACATGACCTCCTTGAGAAGGAAATATAAGGAAGCACAATTATAAAGTCCCTTTGAAGGTACACTGGGAGTCCCTTGGAAGATTGTCCGCTTTAAACATAAACATTAATACACACATCAGCAGAGATGAAAATGTGTATCTCATAGCCAGCTACTAAAAAATATCTGGAATGCTATGATGTTTCCCCAATAATATTCATGCTGTAAATAAAATATTCAAGCATCCTTATAATTCTCTTTTTCCCTTTTCTATATGGAATAAGCTACTTCTTAGGAACGATATGTTGAAGCAGAGATATCAGACGTGCAGCCCAAATAAGATTAAAGTGTAATTGGGAAATATTTAACAAATAAACAAAAAATGCAATAGAACACAAATAATATTGCATTTTAAAACTAAGTCAATGTGTGGCCTGTAGGTATCCTTAATGGAGGACTTGGTGTCCTCTGTTTCTATCCCTCAGCTGCTAAGAGCCTTTAAATTTGAGAAACGCTGTGCTCTTATATGATTGTGTTTTTCATAATAACCAACTAAGAATGTCAGATGACCATAGATGACTGAGAAGAGACAGCTCCCCAGGAAAATCTACCCACAATTCTTTGATAAGTCTAGCCATTATATAAATGAATGTGATTCATGCCAGCATTTTGCATAATAACGTTTTCTTCCTTTTCAAAGGTTGCTGTAAGATTTCATATTTTTCCTTAGCAGTTAAATTTACTGCTAAAGAAAACTTTCAGAGTCTTGAAACAATATTCACTAGTCCCAACTATTACATAGCTGGTTGCTTTCCACCACTCGTGAAATATGTACAGTGTTACCACAATTTTAAATAATAACCCACTTAGCATCATTAATATAGTACCCATAAAATACTCACAGGCAAAATCAACAAGATTAATTGTAATATTTTGTGTTTTATTTTATTGAGAAGAGTGAGGCCATCTGTCATGAGCACCTTCTCCTTTATTCTCGGACTCAAAGCCCCACCATGCCATGTCCCACTCTCTCCTCCTTTTCAGTCTCTGAAGAAGAGATGTTCCTTCTTCTTTCTACTCGTTCTCTCCAAATTATCCTTTCCATCTTCTCCTTGGGCTTGCCACTTCTGATTATTCTCTCTGGCTTGTTCATGTTCACTCTGTCTTATCTACTAGCTCCTTTTCTGTTGCCTACAAACAATCCCAGGTCTCTGAAATTCTTAAAAACAAAACAAAATTCCTTCCACTGACCCCACCAAACCCTCCCATTCAGACCCTTTCCTAAGTTAAGTTTTGCTCCCTACACTAGTGGGTTCTCACCGCCCCTATCTTCAAAACTTCTCTCTCCAAAGTTATGGACTATATATTATTTGCTAAATCTAATGGCCTTTTCTCAGTCTTTATAGCTCTTGACCTCTCTGCATGCTACCTCTAGCACTCCCTGGTGAGGCTCAACCAGATTAAAATATATTTGGCAATATTTATACATTTATAATGTAATTTGTATATTTAAAATATAACTGGGAACATTTTAACAAAATCAATGAAAATTTAATACAATTCTGCTTCAGACCACCCCTCTCTCCTAGAAATTTCTCTCCCTAAGCTTCTGGGACCTGGCTCTCTCCAACCTCTTCTCTCCAGCTCTTTCCTCTCAGTTTCCTTTGCTGAATCATCAAATACTTTTCATTCCTTAACTAAAGGTTAACCTCCAAAACTCAGATCTGAACTTTCTTCAATTCCTTCTTTCAACACCCTCTCATCTTACTAGCTTATATGGGTTCAATAACCATTTCTATGCAGACAATTCTCTTATCTATCAAAGCAGCCCAATCTTTCTCTTAAATGCCACTTCCTCAACTTCTTGTTAGGCATCTTCAACTGGATATGCCATGGGCATTTTAAAATCAAAACACAGTTTCCAACCCTCCCTGCCCCCTAAACCCTTTAAACCTCCCTGTTTCTGGTGAAGAAACAACCATCCTTCTAGTAATCCAGGTTAGCAGTTCTAGAAACATGCTTTAGTCTTTGTCTCCTCCCCCATATCCAATCAGATGCTAAACCTTATCAATTCTACTTCTACCAGATCTATGATATCTATCCCTTTCTCTCTAATCAAATCACAAAGCCACCACTCCAGCTCAGTCCTCCATTACCACTCCTAGATTAATGTAATAGCCTCTAAATTGGTCTCTCTGCTTCCAGGCTCACACTTCTATAATCCAATCTCTACCATTACCAAAATAATCTTTCTGAATGGTTTAATTATATAACTCACCAAATCATGTTGATTCTATATCATATCTCCATCTCTCCACCCACAAAGCCACTATTCTAATGTAAGCCATTTTCACCTGCATCTGAACTGCCACAATAGCCTCCACATTGGTCTCCCTCTGTCTACTCTTTTCTTTCCACACAGCTGCCAAAAGAATTTTTTGAAAGCACAGGACTGCCCATGCCACTGCCCTGCTCTAGAAGCCTCAGTGGCTCACTATCACTTCCAAAAGAAAATACAAACTCTTACATATGGTATTTAAACCTTTTATAAGCTGGTCTTAGACTACCTTTCCAGATTCCCTTCCCATCACACTGTCTACATTCCAGACAAATTGGATTGTTTGCCATTTCCTAAATTTGGCATTCACGCTCTAACCGCTATGCCTTTAGAAAGGTCATGTCCAGAAAGCTCTCCCTCCACACTGCTGCTCTTTTTCCCTCTTAGGTTAGCTGCCACCTTCTACATGAGACCTTTCCTAATCACCACTGGTTCTATTGCTTTTTTTTCCTCTTCCCTTCCATCAAAATTACTTTTATTTTCTTTGTCTATCTTTACTGGGTACATGTTTCACTACTGCCCCCCATTCCAGTAAAATGTAAGCCTTTTGAAAACAGAGACAAGTTTTCATTTTTTTCTGTGTCCCAAGTGTTTAACATAGTAACTGGCACATCATAGGCACCCATTCAATGCAACAATCATTAATTAACTCACCTTTACATAAGGTTTTAAGGTTTATAAAGTATTCTCCTCCTAATAGCCTTAGAGTCAGGTAACAATTATTATCATCTCCATTTTACAGATGAGAAAACTAAGGATCAGAGATGTAAAGTGGTATGCTCATAGTCACACAGCTAGTAACTATCAGAACTGGAACTCTGAACTCAGGTTTTCTGACTCTTGGGTCCATCATTTTTTCAATATGTGACTGCGAGAGTTCCAGTGATATTATTGTTGACCAATTGATCTTCATCTCATATTATCAGTCAAATAAGGTTACGATTGGATTTCTCCAAATTTTTATTACATTTTTATTTCATTATAACACATTGATGATGCTATTGCACAAAAGTTGTTAGCTGGGGCACTGGGGTGTGGAATATGCCTAAAATACTGAAATAAAATCATAATCCTAACAGATTAATAAAACAAACTCATTTGCTACTCCAAAAATATCAGATCCTACTTTCTAGACCTAAAGGCAATTTAAAAGGAAAATGAACAAGTCAAGCCCTTTAAAACATAGTTTTGTGGTCTAATTAGTTCATTACAACATAATGACAGGGGGAAAGGAGAGCTTTATATTTTATTCACATCTCAGAATAAAGAATGATAGATCTGCATTAGCAACCATGCCAGACAACTTGGCACTCTGTCACTGTACAAAAAAGCTAAGGAATTACTGCCATAGAAGGGAATTTTCTAATGTAGTGCTTAGTTTTTCAAAAGTATTACCTCCAGAAGTGTAGCTCGAATCCTTCACATTTATCCTTGCATTTTAAGCAGGGGGCACCAAATCCTTGCTCATGACCTAAACCCATCTGTTAAGAGAAAACAAGACAATGTATTTTTAATGCAAGAGTTTAAAACTAATTTTTATTTAAATTCAGCTACCACTAATTTTCCATTTCTAGCTTTTAAAAAGTACTGGGGGGTAGGGGCAGAGAGAGAGGAGAATACCATGCCATTTAAACAGAACAATACCTTGGTAGGTGTAGTTATCTAAGGTCCAGTAGAAAGTAAATTATAGATTTGGATAATACTCATGTTGTTTTTTTTTAGAACCAATTTAACATAAAAGACACTAAAATAGGGCCTTAAAAACAAAAAAATTAACAGAATCAGAATATTGCAAACCTTTAAGTGCTATATAAACAGTAGCTATACATATAAATATATATACACACATATATTATACATATATTCATATATATACATACATATATAGATACATTGGATACACACATACTAGTAAACTACAGAAAGAAAATGCTACAAGAAAAAGGTTTAACATGTGCCAAAATATTTGTAATAATACTTTTTGTGCTCTATGTTTGGAAAATGGTGGAAGTGTGGTATATAAGCTCGTGGATCTATCTAGCGCAAACAATTCAGAGTAACCAGATTCCCACAAACTAACAGAGTAATCAGAACCAGAAGAAATACAAAGAAGGATTACAGTAACACAAATTAAAGGAATACCAAAAGGAAGTAAGACTGGGTAATTGTAATAACAATCTTCAACGAGAAGAAGAAGATAATGCAACAATCTCCCTCTTCTTGTCAGAGGCGGGAGACTATTAGGGTAAAATGTTGAATACATGGTCAGAAAGGGTCATTGTATCCTTTGGTTTTTTTTTGCGCAACTGTTTTTTTTTTAATTACAACAGAAGGTTTAAATCAGGGATGAGGATGAAGTAGGGTTATGCAGAAATGACTGACATAAAAATAAAACTATTATTTTTTAAAGCAAGAAAATATTATTAAAGTCCTTTATCAGTGAGTGGTCAGCTTGATCACTATCTGTCTTCTGCTATGTGAAATAAAAAATTACTTAAGTTCTACCCTGGAAAATGAGAAGTTCAAGCAGGGGTTGGTTAGAGACAAAGAATTTAGGAAACAAACCTGGGCTGTTTGTCTGTTTTCTTTTCAATGTACCCAAACTAAAATATTTTAGAAGAAGCAAGAAATATGTACTGTGGGAAAAGGAGACTTGGGAAAGCTCAGACTAATATATCATTTCAAGACTTAAATGAGAGAGAGAGAGAGATTTTAGTTCAACTTAATGAATAATCTTTTTTATAGCAAAAGTATAAAACAATATCCTGAACCAGATTAAAATGTAATTGAGAAAAATTTAACAAAATAAATAAAAATAGAATAGAATAGAATATGTGGTGTTAATATGAGGTCTTCTAAGTCAATATGAGGGCAGCAGGGATTCTTACGTCCAGTTTAACAGCCCCTGTTTCTATATAAGTTGGACACCTCTGCTTTAGAGCTCCCAGAAATCGATCTAGTAAAGGTAGGTAAACAGCTGGAATCTAGTAGATGTTAGAAATTTGTTTTACTTAACTACAGATATGAGAAAGAAAGGAGACAAACCAGCTCTAAATACCAGGACACTGGCTGTCAGCAGCCATGGCATTCTTCTGGATTCTATCTCTCATCAACTTCTGACATATCAGTGACAATGCCTGAATAAGCTCTTTAAAGCAGAAAAATCCTAGGCCTTTTTCAACTGGGGCCTATATCCTACACTGTTATTCCTATCAACAGTGTGCTCAAAACCACAATCACTGAAAGATCAATCTTTGATAAAAGGCAAGTGTTAGGGTAATATTTAAATAAAGTTCTCACCTTTTCTCAAAACAAAAGTTACTATATTCATTTACAGCAAATCCCTACTTCTGATTAACATCTGTAGATGGGCTTTGCTATTAAGACTATACATTTGACAATAAAACTAACCTGATCATAAATTAACCTTTTTGTTTTTAATGATTCAAAAGGCTATCTCTTAGTGACTCTGTCATGTAACAGGGAGGAGCTTCCATGATCATTATACAGAACACAAGGGAAAAAATTTCTAAGAATGTGGGTAAGAGGATAACAGACCCTTATCACTTTGTGTAAATGGAGCTTTCACAGACCTTAAGTAATAGGAAGTTGCCTAGGCCATGGTGAAGGGAAGGAGGCAGGAGAAGGACCACATCCCAGTGGAGGGAGAGGGCTAGAACACGGTTCAAGGACATGTTGGGGCAGGAGGAGGAACATGCTGGCGGCCCAGTTGAGCAGACAAGGGCAAAGGTCTTCTCTCTTGGTACTTGCAGTCTCAAGCCAAGCCTCTGATCCAGGTGCACTGGCCGTCTCTCCACCTGTATGCCCTTCTGCCTTCATCCAGAGGGGGCTTTTTGGTTGATTTTTTTGGAGGGGAGTAGGATGCCTTGTAGCAAGGACCCGAGGAGCAGGAGCAGAGAGAGAAAGCACGGTATTGGTTCTTTGGAATACAAGTTTCTTTCAGAATTCTTTACCTTGCATAAAATGAATTTATGTAAAGCAAGAACAGTCTATAATATACTACATTAGTTTCCACCATGGTATGAATAGCCAATCTGTGAAGGCTATAGTCTTCACTTCTATTCTCTTTTTTTCTTAAAAAAGTGACAATGCTTTGGGGGCAGCTAGCTGGGCCTGGAGTTAGGAAGACCTGAGTTCAAATTTGGGGCACTTACTAGCTCTGTGACCCTGGGCAAGTCACTTACCCTCAGTTTGCTTCAGTTTTCTCATCTGTAAAATAGAGATCATGATAGCACCTACCTCCCAGGGTTGTTGTGAGGGTCAAATGAGATAATAATTGTAAAGCACTTAGTACGGTGCCCGGCACATATTAAGTGCTATCTATATAAATGTTAGCTATCATTATTTTAGATTATTTAGCTTTTTTTACATTGACTTTAATAACATCTTCTTATCTGGGGTTCAGGTCTGTCCCTTAAAGAGGGTAAGAGGGATACTTTAATAAAGCTTGACTAAATTGCTCTTCTTAGATAACATCTGGAAAGAAATCTGTCCCTGAATTATGAATGGCCTTTTGCTAGTTAAAAGCCACTTTAGTCTGACCCTCAAATCTGATTGCCTAGGGCCTATACCAGGCAACTAAAACTCCTGTGACATGGGTGAAACAGAATGACCCATCTCACCTCTCTTTCCCTTTCTCCTTCTGGATTTGGCTTGGTCATTCACCCACGGTTATGAGAACCTTTCCTCTTGGAAGAGGACAATATCATTGACTTCTTACACTAGACATTAATAATGCTGTATGTGACTTTTCATTTTAAATTTCTTTTTTTAAGTCATCTTGGAAGAATGGTAAATGTCCTCTTTTTCTCTTCACTTACTTTCTCATCAACTTTTTACTCTCCTAAAAGTAAGGCAAGAGTAATGATAAGATAAGACAGGATAAGATAAGATAAGAATCTGACTGCACTGTCTTGCAGTCAGAATATCTGATCAACCTATTTGACTCAGCAGCTAAGCATTTACAATTTCAAATATAAATCAAATCATGAAATCATCTTTGTCTTTCCTAAACAGAAGCCTTAGTTCATGACTTTCCTCAAGATAAAGAATTAAAGGACAGAAATAGGGAGTGAACCTATGGTTTCATGGGTATAGGTAATTCCCAGATGAGCAAACTCCCTCTACCAACTGGTAAAAGACGTCACCATCTCTGCTTAGTCTAAGAGAGTCGCCAACAACAGAGGCTAAGTGACTTGTCCAGGATTAATTAGCCAGTATATGTCAGTAATAGAACTTGAACCTGGATCTTCCTGGCTGATTACTATGCCACAATGACCCTCCAACAACTAAAGGTAAATATTATGGTACTACCTCTTGGGTTCCAACTTTCTGTCTTTTTTATTACTTTACTGGTATCTTGCATTTGATTTTATGTTCAGACCAATGTTCCCTTTAAACTATGTGCAAGCATCGTCTCAAATGCCCTTACATATCTCCAGGGACAGTCAAAATGACTAAGTTGCTCAAATAAATACACAAATTAAAAATAAAGGGTATATGGAGAAAGAAAAAGTAATAGAATAGTTGAGGTAAGTAGGGCCAAATTTTCTTATAAGTAGATTTTATGTAAAGATATAACATATAGGAGAAGAGCAGGCATGTCAGGTAGGTAAAATTTGTTTTTAAATGCCCCTTGTTTTCTATTTTGATCCTTTCTCAATTAGCAGGATTCTTTCCCGACCAAGTAAAATGAAATTAGTGATAGATAGTGTTAAGAAAATGTGAGAAGAAATTTCAACTGAGCTGTTGCTGACAGGTTGGTAGAAGGAAATAGAGACTACCCCAGAAAAGGACAATGCCCTCGGTAGTCACCTTCAAACTCCTTGATCCCATACCTCTGGTAATAAAATGCTTTTGAGCATGACCCCCAAAATACATAGATATATTGTCATTACTTATATAAATACATATATAATACAAATTTATATATTACAAACAAAACAAAATCTAAAAAGATGAAACAGATTTTAAAATAAACTTCACTCTATTAGTGGCACAAATACCTTTTTAGTTAGAACAATTTGACTGAATATGCTTCATTTAAAGAAATTCTTTGTCACTTTTTGATAGATCCAGTTCCAATTTAAGTTTATTTTATAATATGGCTGGCACGGCTGAAATGGGAGGATTTATAGACTGTGTGGTGTTCATTCATTTTTTCTGTTGTGTCTGATTCTTTGTGACCTCATGTGGGGTTTTCTTGGCAGAGATACTGGAGTGGTTTACCATTTCATTCTCTAGCTCATTTTACATTTGAGGAACTAAGGCAAACTGAGTGACTTGGCCAGGGTCACTAAGCTAGTTAAGTGTCTGAGGTCAAATTCCAGACCTAGCACTCTATCCATTGTGCCACCTAGCTGTGCATTTTACAGACTATACTTCCACAAATCACCACTCTCAAAGGTAACAGGGTAATTGACAGGTGAAAAATGTATTGTTTCAAGGATCTAAGACATCT